CCAGCCACCCAGCCACCCAGCCACCCAGCCACCCAGCCAGCCATGGAATAAGAGTGAAAGTAAGACATAGAGACATAAGAGAAAGGTAAATGCCCAGTGGGAAAAGGTAGCTGGGATAATTCAAGTTAAGGAAAGCTGGCTACAAACAAGCCAAGCTAAGGCCAGGCATTCATAAGTAATAATGACCTCCCTATGCGATTTATTGGGAGCTGGGTGTCGGGGCCCCCAAAGAGTAAAGAGTAAAAACAGCCAAAGACAGTCTTCACTACTCACATGTGAGGCTGTTGGGTCTGGAGTGTTTTGGGGAGGTCGTCAATGGTAAACTCGGTTTCCCTGACACACACAGGACAGTTGAGGTCACTCTTACTGTTTCCGGATGGCTTTGGTCTGTTGTGACCTCACAGACTTGTCTGTTTCAGTAAGTTCTTTGGCCTTTCCCTCTCTTTGAAGTTTGTAGTGCTAGCCCTCCTTCATTCCCGATTTTGGTAATATTTCCCCCTTTTTCCTAGCCGACATCACTAGAAGCTTCTTAATTTTATTGAACTTTCGGAAGAATCTCCTTTTGGCCAGATTGAAGTGTTTTGTATTTTTTTTTCTGTTTTTTAAATTTTTTGATTGATTTATTCCCATTTTACTTTATTTTAGAGACAGGGTCTCACTCTGTAGCTTTGCCTAGCTAGAACTCACTATATAGATGAGGCTGTCCTCGAACTCAGAGATCACCTGCTTCAGCCTCAGAATGCTGGGATTAAAGTCATGACCCACCTCTCCAGGCATGATTTCTTCTCTTTATCGTGTTTTTCCTTGCTACCTCTTTGGGGTTTCATCCCTCCTGCCCTCCAATGGAAGGTGGGAGCTCTGAGCAGGCTCCAGCAAACTGCAGTCCAGGAGCCAGTACCCAGCAAGCTCTTCTTGAAATACCCATGAACTAGGGGTGACTTTTGCCCTTTTCTAATAGTTGATAACTCACAGAAATGGAAGGAGATTCCGATTTCAGTGTCTGAACCTCAGTGGGGTTGGGATGCAGCCACCCTCAGCTGGGGATGTACTGCTTATGGCTGCCTCTCTGGAGTGGCAGAGTTAAGTACTCGTGTCAGAGAGCAATGCCGTTGGCACAGGCACTGTACACGTGCGTGATCCGCTGTCAGCTGGGTCGCGGTGCCGAACTTGACACCTAAATTATTATTGTTATCAGTGCGCACTCCTGTCAGAACAAGAGGTGGAAACGTGCATTTGGAACATTCAGAGCAGCGCTGTGAGGCGAGGGTGAAGCAGTGTGCTTGTGCTGTGACGGTGGGCTGTGCTGGAGGGGACGGTGGGGACGTACCGTTGTCCCAGAGTGAGCACAGCACAACGGACCCTAAGGTTGCAAAGGCCGGTGGAACCAGCAAGCTTTAACATGGATGCCTCTTGGAGTCTCTCTCTTCACAGATTTGAAAAGTGGAAATGAAGCCGTGCTGGGCACTTTACAGACGGCTCGTTTGTTAGCCAAGCCAGGAAGTTGTTGACCAATGGGGAGTTGGATTGCAGCAGGCACAGAATTGTGTCTGGAGAAAATAAACTTGTTTAAAATGATTAGCCTATTGGCATGAACGGTTGCTCGAAGCGTTGAGGGCACCATTAATCAATTAGAAACCCAAAGAAATGATTTTGAGTGGTTTTCCTTGGCTCTTCATGAGACGGCAGATGTTAGCAATACTGCTCAGTTGTTTACTTGGGAAGTCATCGCTGAGCTTGAAGTGATTGAAAAGTGAGTTTGAACCAACATTGTGTGTTGGGGGCTTCGAGGACACATACAGTGTTTTCAAGACACCAGAGCATCAATTCCATACAACTTGAATCTTCGAAGCTAGGTTAGAAGGATGCTTGTAAACATCTATAGAGTGGAAATGAGCTCAGGTGGACATGGTTATGATGCCATGAAAATGGGAGCCAGGTGAAGCTTGTGGTTATCTGTCATTGATTCCTTGGTGTTTTGCAGATGTGTGTCTGTCCCGTAGTCAGGGTCTGGGCGGGGTCAGCGTCTGGAATTCCGTTGTGGAATTAGCTGTTGTCAGTTCCGTAGGCTTGTGTCAGGAGCAGGAGCAACCCCCTCCCCTGCCGTCGCCACACAGCCGCCTGGTGGCTTAGCAGCAGGCGGGTTTTCAGCTTAGGACAGAGGTGGGAAGTTGTCAGAAGGAGAGCGACTGCCCTCGGCCACTCTTAATGAACACCAAGGGCTTGCTTTTGCCACAAACTCGGTCACATTTCTTAATGAATCCACCCTACACATTCCAGGACGGAACAGGTGCTTATGTCAAAGCCAAGCCTGCAGGAGAAGTCTTGCTATGCAGTTAGTCTTTCTACACACTGTCAGTGGTGTTCAGCTGTCCACATGGGCAGAAGTAAGTGACATCTCCATTCTTTTTGTTTTGTTTTTGTTTTTGTTTTCAAGGGTTTCTCTGTGTAGCCCTGGCTATCCTGGAGCTCTCTCTGTAGACCAGGCTGGCCTTGAACTCAGAGATCCAACTGCCTCTGCCTTCCAAGTGCTGGGATTAAAGGCGCGCGCCACCACTGTCTGGCTCTCATAGTGGCTGTCAGCATTCTGAGACTTCTCAGACTGGTTTTAGCATCATTTCCAGACTTTGATGCAAACTTCCATATTAGAGATCCATTTAACTGTGTTGTTGAAATTCTTTTCAGCTTAATCATTAATTGGTCTTGACTAATCTGCAGAATGCATTGTTTAAATACTCTCTGAACAGTGACTGTGCCGACCGGAAGTCACCTGGCTGCAGTTTGCTCACATTAGGTGGAAGGACCAAACCGGCTTACACCTGGTCATGTAAGAAAAGACTGAATAGATGGACTGTATACAGCATCATTAAACCAGTGTCAGCGGCCTGGTGCTGGTGCTTGAGCAGGAAACACTACCTCAGTCCTAAGCTTTTTATTAGGAGACCTGCTTTACAGGGTTACTGTGAAGCTAACTCTGTATTTTTTCATTTGATCACTCTACAATATAGAACGTTTTATCTCAGAATTGTTTATCTATTATCCTCTGTTTTGTTTGTTAGTCCTTAGAATTTAAAGGTTTGTCCGAACCTTTACAAAAAAAAGGACGCCAGCCCTTTCGTTATATCAAAATATTTTTCCTACATAATGGTATACCTGTACATGTTAGCAGATTTAATATAAGTAATTTGCCAGACAGCAGCCCTAGAAGAACAGAATTCATGGGGAACTTTGTGCTTCCGGGTCTCCTCATTTAGGCTTAGCTAGTCATAAACAGAGTCAAGACTGTTGGCTGTGACAGGTATGAGCGATGTGCAGCCTAAAGGAAGAGGCGCTGGTTTGATGCTCATGGTTTGGGGGCTCAGTCGATGGCAGGCTGGCTTCATGCTTCCGGTTCTTCTTGAGGTAGCGAATTAGGGCAGAAGGGCATGGTGACAGAGCTGTGGCACCCAAGGAGCAAAGAGAATATGTGTCCTTTCAGTCTGGGTCCCCAGCCTGTGAGATGCTGGTACCCACATTCTGGGCAGGCCTTCTCCCCAAGGTTGACTTTTCTCTGGAAACATTCTCCTGGATAGACTCAGAGAAGTAGTTTACTGATCTTCTAGGCACTTCTTTTTGAAAAATTTTAAGTGTATGTGTGTGGCGTGAATGCATGTGTGTGGTGTGAATGCATGTGTGTATGCATATTTGGGAGTGTGCTTGTGTGTAGGTGCACTGGCATGTGTATGAACAAATCACGTGGTGGTCAGAGAGTGACATCAGGGTCCTCCTTTGCTTTCCACCCTATGTATTGAGGCATGGTCTCTCACTTGAGCCCAGAGCTGATTGATTCCTTTGTCTATGTTGGGAGAGTCCGGCTACCCAAACTAAAGTGTAATTCCCTAGGAAGGCAGGAGGAACATTTCTACTTTCTTTCTTTCTTTTTTTCATAAGATGCTCTACCTTGCATTCTCAATAATGAAACTGCCACTTCAAGGGAAGCTTCACCAGGATACCCTCTTGCTACTCATGGAAGGACAGAAGGCAGGGAAGGACAAGCTGACAAAACCAGTAACTGTGGAATCACTCATCAGCAGGGGCAGATGCAGCCTCAAATTAAGGCATTTGTGTGGCTCTTCCTCTGGAATGGTGCTTCACCCTCCCAGTGGGAGCATCCCAAACCTTAGAGCATCATGCTTTGGAGCCAAGTGAGGTGCTTGTGCCCTCAGCACACTCTCCACAACCCTGTGACAGATGGACCGTAAGGGCTCAGAAAAAGAAGGTACAGGAGGCTGCTGAGTGTGCCCCATTTTTCCACTCCCATTCTGAACCTCAGTACCGCTTCAAGAAATCTTACTCACCCTGGCTACAGTAAGAGGTAGTTTAGGCCTGGAGCTTATGCAGGGACACTTGGCTCAGTCTGGGAGGAAGGGACTGGACCTCCCTGGACTGAGTCTACCAGGTTGATCGCAGTCCTCGGTGGGAGGACTTGTCCTGGAGGAGGTGGGAATGGGGGGT